AAAAAAAAAAAAAAAGACAGAGTCTCACGTTGTCACTCAGGCTGGAGTGCTTGGTGTGGTCTTGGCTCACTGCAACCTCCTCCTCCTAGGCTAATGCGATTCTCCCACCTCAGCCTCTGGAGTAGCTGGGACTACAAGTGCGCCACCACACCTAGCTAATTTTGTATTTTTAGTAGACACAGGGTTTCATCATATTGGCCAGGCTGGTCTTGAACTCCTGACCTCAAGTGATGTGCCCACCTCGGCCTCCCAAGTGCTGGGATTACAGGCATAAGCCACCGCACCCGGCCTTAAATCCTTGGAATTTTCTGAGTAATAATACTGTATTTGAAAATAATAAGAAAAAAAATAGTTTCTGTGGTTTAGCTAAGAGATGAGTTGACCCAGGAAGGGGGTGGGTCACCAGAAACCCCAACAAGCCTGCTGTCTCCTGCTCCCGGGTTCCTTGGCTTCTAGGCGCTCTCAGCCAACAGAGCAGGGGAACACCTGTGTGTACAGTAACATGGGCGCACCCACCTATGAATATTTCCACTTGGCGAGCAGGTGTATCCCTATGAGGCCGATGCGTTCTCTGGTGGCCATGTGTGCGTGTGTGCATATATGTCCCCGTGTGTGTTTACGTGTGCACATACACACGTAGGAGGTACCTGTTCACTTTTGTGTTTTTGAGATGGAGTCTCGCGCTGTGGCTCTGGCTGGAGTGCAGCTGCGCATCTTGCCTCCCCGCAACCTCCCAGGTTCGAGCGATTCTCCTGCCTCGGCCGCCCGGCTAACTTTCTGTATTTTTAGTAGAGACGGGGTTTCCCTATGTGGCCAAGCTGGTCTCGAACTCCTGACCCAGTGATCCGCCCGCCGCGGCCTCCCACAGGGCTGGGACTGCAGGCGTGAGCCTCCGCGCCCGGCCGCCTGTTCGCTTTACAACTTGGGGACCGTGTTCCACTCCGAGCCCGGGGATCAGGCACGCCCGAGTCGGACACCCGCAGGTGGGGCGGGAAACGCAGCGAGGGCGGAGCCGGACGCCCCGGAGCCGGCCGGGGTGCGCGAGGCTGGGGCCGCCGCGGATGCGCCAGCGAGGCCGGGACTCGGGCGCCCTCTGCCGGCCGCTCTCGGGGCCTGATGGGGGGGTGTCCCCGGGGGCGTGACCGGAACCCTCTGGTCGAGGGGACCCTGCGGCCCCGAGACGCCGCGCGCTTCCGAGGCCGCGGGAGGCGCTGGGCGCTGCACGGGGCGGG